GTAAGTAGAAGGGGATTATTCCAGTGCTAAAAGATTCTATTATGATAAGCTGTTCTCTTTTGTATGTGTAATTGCGTAATATAGCACTAAAAGCCCTAGAGGCTCTTGGCTACCTCCACTGTCTTCATCCATTCCCATCTGTTGTGTGCATTCAGCCTCCAGTCATCCATATTTAATTTCTATAAGTCTGACACTACATCATTTAGCTATCTTCATCTCAGTCCTCCAGGCTGCCTCCTCACCTCCAGCACCCTGAAGAGCAGTGTCTTTGGTGTCCAGATCATGTGCATTGTTTCTATGTGGCCCAGCCACTGCAGTTGTCATGCCCTGACTTCCTGTCAGGGTTGGCTTTGTGTTGAAGTGATATAACTTGCTGTTGGTTCTTATTCATTATTCTTATGTTATGGGATCATACTATGCACTAAAGATTTTCTGTAAGAACTTTCTTTCAAAACAATCTAATTGTTATCTTGTTTGCTTGAGAGAGAATCTAGGATTGATTTCCATAGGTTGTACATGACTTGATTATGGTTTTATAGACGTGAAACTTAATTTTCTTTAGGATGAACTTGGATGACAAGAGCTTGTGCACTACACTGTAGGCTCTATTTCCTGCTTCCAGTCTTCCTTGAATTTCTTCCTTTTTATTACCATTCTGTCTTATGAAAGAACCTAACTACTTGAAGTGGGTCACTGGCTTAAAGTTTATGTTGTTCATTGTTATGTGAGGTCCCTGATTTACTGCTGTCTTGTTTACCTGGAGATACTGTGTTTTGACCACATTCACTTGCAGTCTGATTTTCTTTGCTTCATTTGCTTTCTTTCACCTTATCAATTTCTTTTTTTTTCTGAAGACTATTCCTTAAGAAGAGAAAGTAAATTTTAAGTGGGTGTGAAACATGTGGGATAACAACATTAATGTATATACATGCTGAAATCAGAAAAATCAAGGATGGATCCTGCCAAACCATAGTCATTTAGACATTCCTTAGTCCACTAATCTCATTGAATTTTGCCTTTTAAATGGGACTGCTCACATGTGTAATGACTGTTTACACAAGAAAGATGTGCAAGATAAATAAGATCTTTCTGTCAAAGTCAAATATCATTTCTAACTTTCTTTTCCTACTTTAGTTATGACTTTAAAAATAGTCCTCATGTTCCATTTGAGAATAAATATGGCTTTAAATGTTTGGGTTTGTCTTATTTATACAGTAGTGCCCTTTGGAAGCCAAGATCTATCGCAAGCCCCAAATGTCATGTTAAAACCAAGTTTGCTGCACTGTTCTTTCCTGCACAAGTGTCATACTGAAGGAACTTCACCCTTTTCCCTTTCACTTCACAAGCAGTTTCCTACATCCAAAATCAACAAAGCCAATGTGAGAAAACTTTTTGCACAAAGGCTGAAGTGGAACAGGATTTTTTAGAATACTCACTTATACAGTAGAACCCTAGTATTTTGCAGGGTTAGGTTCCTTATCATCCTGCAAAGATGCGGGTTTGCAAACTACACAGATATATATATAGCCACAGCAAACCACTACACAAGACCACCGAGGTGCACCAGACCCCTGCTGTGGCTTTTTTTTCAAAGAACACTACTTCTCTAATTGGCTGCATGGATCCTCAATGAGCTCCAGCTGAGTGAAGAAGTGATGTCCTTTGAAGTAAAAGACACAGCAGCAGCACAGCTCATCCTTAAGGTGGCAATCCTCTGTAAACGTATAGTTTTGTGAACTACCAAGATATGAATGATCTGGGCTGTACCATATATAAGGTGCAATTAGAAACACGAGCACTGGATTCTAAAAATATATCTGGAAATATATCTAAAAATAGAATCCAGTTGAGAGTGAACTGGATTCTAAAAATATATATGACTCTATCAAGTAATACCAGTATGTGCTGCAATTTCTTTTTGAGCAGAAGGAAGCTTTTTTGAAGGAAGCACAGAAAATGAAGGAAGTGTTTGTGGCAGCGATGCTACATTCTACAGACAGTCTGAAGGTAATTATGCTTAAAATTCCTTTTGACTAAACTGAGGTGTTACATTTTGAGGTACTGGTAAATAGTAGGGCTGTGTGAAATTTTGACGGGTGTTTCATTTTGAAGCTACTTCAACTTGTTTTGAGCTCAAAACAGCAAAATCAAAATGAAATGAAAAGCTTCGAAACAGCTTTGAAACGAAATGAGGGCACTCAAAATGTTTCAAAACTTTAGAAACATTTCGAGTTTAGAAGCTGACTTGCTTGCAGCTAAACAGAAACTAAGAAGAGGGAGGGGGAAGTGGGGGGAAGGGCTGCTCTGATATTGACATCTAGCTCTTGGTTCAATTCCCCAGCTCTCTGATCACTTCTCTCAGCTCTCTGGTCATTTCCTCAGCTCTTCCCAGGGGGTGAAGGCCCCTGATGTGCACTCAGGGTTTCAGCAGGCTGCTGCTCCAGGCTGGAGCTGGCAGCAGCTGCTCAGCACTGCCACTGGCCCCAGCCTGCCATGGCAGCCTGCTGAAGCCCGGCATGCAGAGCTGAGTCTCGCACCCCCCAGGGAATAGCTGAAGAATAGAACTGGAGGCTGGGGAATTGAACTGGGAGCTAGGGGAATGTTTAAGGGAATGTTCTCTCCCCCAGCTCTTCCCACGGGGCGCGGACCCCTGGATGATGCATGTTGACAACAGACTGCCGCTGCCAGCTGGTGATGGCAGTGGCTCTGGGCTATTTTTTCCCAGCTGGCAGCAGCAACCTGCTGAAACCCCGCATGCAAATCTGGGGGCTATTGCCCCTGGGAAGAGCAGAGAGAATGATCAGAGAGCCAGGGAATCAAAGCCAGAGCTCCGGCTGACGGGGGGGCTGCCTCAGGTCCTGGACAGTGCGCGGCACCCTGCTGAACTATGCTGCACCTGCACCATGGAGCAGATGTCAGATGGGGGGGGGTGATCCCTGATGCCCTGCACTGCATGGGGGAGCTCTGCCACAAGCCCAAAGAGGCCCCAGTCACCACTGCCAGAGCCAGTGAGTGCAGGGCTTTTTTTTTTTTTTTTAAAGCTCCACACTCACCAGCTGCAGAGCATGCAGATGACAGCATGCTGCCACTGCCGGCTGGGGCCAGCGCCAGCACCCAATTCTGTCTGGTGCAGCCCACGCCGAACACCAGGAAGAGCGCAGTGCTGGCGCTGGCCCCAGCTGGCACCAGCAGCCTGCTGTCATCCCTCACACAGGTCTGAGGGCGCATGCCCCCAAGAAGGGCTGCAAGGCTGTGCCAGGCTCCTCCTGGGGGGAGCGGGCCCCCGGATCTGCATGTGAGATAACAGTAGGCTTTCATTGCCGGCAAGTGATATGAGTTTTGCTTTGAACAGTTTGAGGTGCAATTTCATGAAAGCCGCTCATCTATCTCCTTGAAACTTGGCAGGCTTCATGCCCTCAGAAGGGGCTACCATTCCTGCAATTTTCATCTGAATCAGGCAAGAAATGACAGTTATAGGCATTTTCTTGATTCCCCATTATAGCCTATGGGCAAAACACATCAAAACAGCGAAACAGTTTCGACAAAATGAAACAGAACAGTGCTTTGCAACTGCAAAACACTGTCCCTTTGAAATGGCAAAAAAGAAGTCAAAACAAAACAGTGCTGTTTCACACAGCCCTAGTAAATAGCTGGGAGGATTGGTAGATCTGTAAGTAGAACTGGCACCCACAGATGAAAAGTTCTCAAAATAAATTATCTTTAACCTAAAACCTTTAGTGAGTTTCCAAAGGTTCTGTGGTTCAGAGGGAGCATGATAGCCTGTTTTGTGTTGCTTCCCATCTTAATTCATTCATTTCAGTATTATTTTCATAATACTATACAGTTAATGGGAGTTAGGGTTCTAAATACTTTTGAGAATTTGGGCCTACATGTTCACAGGTTGGAGGTCTTTCATGAATGCTCATTCATAAATGGCTTATCAGATAGGTCTAAACTCAGTTGAATTCCATTACAATTTTTTCTCTTATGACCTTCACCTAATAGAGAAAACATAAAGGGGATTTTACAGAAGCATTGTGTTTTTGTATTTGATATTCTACGTTATCCTTGTTTAATTTCAGAAAAAATAATAACCTCTTTCAATTAGAATATACAAATGGATAGAAGCTACCCAGAAATTATTCTGTCTATTAACATGCTTATGTCATTGCTCATTAGAGTTCTGAGAACCACATTTTAACATCAGCAACTTGGGGTATGAGTCTGGATCTGCATCACTGCAGTAGGCTCCATCAACATCTGAGATATAAGAACTACCAAAATTTGAATGTAGTTTGGAACATGGGTCTGAATTTGGCAGCTTGTGCTTATATTTGGTATACTATAAAGGTGGAGATTTTGTCTTATTCTTTGACTAGGACATAGTATGATGGACACCCTTGCTGTGGCATTACGAGTTGCAGAAGAAGCAGTAGAAGAAGCCATTTCCAAGGCAGATGCATATGGTGACAGCCTGGTAAAATTTTCTAATAACATTCTGCTGATTTATATGGATCAGGATTTTTTCACCTGTATTTAAATAGGGATGGAAAGATAAGTAAATATCAAAGAAAATATAAAGCAGACATGGAGTATCTTATTGCGTTAGCTAAAACAATTGTGATGTTTCTCTTAAATTTATTATCAAGATAGCATATATGTTCCACTTAAGAAATACATAAAAGTTCAAGTTGCTTGCTTTCAAGTTATTTCTTCATGCAATGTCAAATATGGCATTATCACCCTTTTTGTATTGATTTTGGTAAATAGATATCTGTCTAGGTTATATATATCTCCTGTGAATCTGTAGCATTTATTCATGTGCACCTTTGTTCAGGACAAACAGAATGAGGCATGTTATTTACGAGAACACAAGGAGGAACTGATAGAGGAACTTGCCACGACCATAGTGCAGAAGGTAAGCTTATGCAAGCTTTACTCATGTAAAATGCATGTCTAGGGGCTTGGGCAGGCAGCATGTTTCCACTGGTGAAATTAGCCTTTATACCTGTGCTAAAAAAAGAGTATGAATACAGTATACAGGTGTACACCAGTTGTCCAGGGCTGTGCGAAGCTTTTGGTGCTGATTTGATTTGGAGGAGATTCGGCCCAATTTGGAAGCTGAATCTCCAAATCCGAATTGAATCAGGAGACCAATAAAAAGGTCTGAATTGATTTGAAGCTCTCCTAATCGATTTGGAAAAGACCCAGAGAGCTTTAGAGATTTTGGCAGTCCGTGCTGGCTGCCCCACGGAGCTGAACCAAGACTCCATGCTGGTAAATAGAGGGGGGGGGGCTGGAGGAGGGAAGAAGGGACCATGGGGGGACCCCTGCCAAGCCCCATCCCCTGACTGCTCCCCGAGCACCCCAGCTTCCCTTCACCCCATGGCT